ATGCTGTGTGGTTCGGGGCCCTCCTGAACCACCATCGGCCGCTCGGCCAGCCTGGGCTTCCCTCTGTCTGGAGCTTTCAACTCACCGCTCCTGGGAAACATCCGAGCCCCGGCCAAGGGGAAGTCGCTGTTTGTCAACTGTGGAGCTATTCTGTTTTCCCGCCCACTTTTCAGTGAGGAGCTCCGGTGATGCAGTGGTTATGATAACCACAAGGCCAGCAGTTTGAAACCACCATTCACTCTGGGGGAGAAAGACAGGCTTTCTACTCCCACAGACAGTTACAGCCTTAGAAACACACAGGAGCAGGTCTACCCTGTCCTACTGGGTTCTCAACTCAATGGTGTGAGCTATCTTTGGGGTTTTCTTCAGCATCTACAGTCCTGACAGCATTTTTCTGCCTCCACAGCTTATCAGAATCCCCTTAGGAAAAGGTCTGGATCGCCACTAGTGAGATGTTCCAGTGCTCTGGGAATCGGTGAATTCACCTCATCCATCCCACAGGACACAGAGAGGACTGCTGGTAGCCTAGTGGTTATGCACTGGGCTGCAATATGCCAGGTCAGCAGTTTGAAACCACTAGCCTCTCTCCTCAGGAGAAAGACAGGGAGGCGTTCTACTCCCATAAACAGGTACAGCCTTGGAAACTCATGGGCTCTTCCCTGTTCTATAGGGTCACTATGAGTCAGCATCTACTAGATGGCAGTGAGTTTTTGGTTTTTATCCCCCACACAGGACAGGGTGTGATACTAGAGCATGGAGGCGGTCACGGTAACAAAAATTCCAGGTTTCTTAATCACACACACAGTTGGTGGGCTGTGTGGTTCTGAATGCAGGAGCATTAGAAGGGGCCTCTGCACCTAACGGGCCCTAAGCACTGATCTTTGAGGGGGCTTCAAAGAATTCCATTATCTTTTCATTCCATTTTTTTCCAGGCACTTTCTGAACCTCCCTCATACGATCTCCCACTAATCCTTATAACTCTCATGGCGTGCTATCATATGCGGTTTTCAGGAGAGAGACCAGAAGTACAGAGGAGGTAAATACATGTTTAAGGGCATAATTAGTATTTTATTGTCATTTATAAGCAGGCGCCAGTTTTGCAAGGAGTCGTCTTACTGACAACTTTCTTTTTCTGTAATGTGTGAAAGTTACATTTTAAGCGTCTTAAGGCCGCTTATGTTTTCAGAAAACTTCAGTAGCTTAACTCATTAATGATGGCTAGGAATATTCCCTCCCCTACTAGCCCCAGAAAATCCAGGCCTCTTTTGCCCCTTTTTCACAAAAGAGAAACACTGATAGGTACTTGACTTCACACTCTGTTCTGCTCTGAAGGAACGTCCAATCAACTGCAAGGAACACACGAGCCATATACTGAGCCATGGCTCGCAAGTCAACTGTTAATTGTTCTATGTGGCTTGAAAATCTGCCTTGCCTTTCGCCTGTCTTACCATTCTAGACACTGGGGTTTGGAGGAGGACCCCAGATACAGGAGAAAAAGACCCAAAGTCAGAGCTTGGGAGAACTAAGGCCCAGTACGAGGGAGGACCAGAGCCCAAACCTATGTTTTCCTCACTTCACTCAAATACAGAGATGTGAAATTCAATCTACACCTTTATAATTCTTACACTGGGGAAAGCAGTGTTGCCACGGGGTGGGGGGTGGCGGGGAGAGCTCAGATCACTACCATTTCTGAGCCCTGAGATTCCAACCAAACCTGAGGCCTTGGTTCCCTCCACGGCCTGAACAATACAAGGGTGATGATGAATATAGTGCACAGTGCAATCCCCAGCGTCATGTGAAATCATGCACGAAGCAGAGAGGGCACAATGTGGGACGAAGTGAATGATGCTGCCTGGCAGTGCAGCAACTGTTGGATGGAGGGAGCAAAGGCAAGAGGTAAGGGAAGGCGAGATGGGGTGGATTGGGGGAGGTTTGGAGAGTGTCCTGGAGAGGAAGAACATACACAACCATGCTTTCCCTCGTCTGTAACCATCACTGTTGGGGGGTAAGATGACGGATGTGGAATTTAAAGTAATGCAGCTCCAATTATGGGCAGGCTTTGTCACCAGGCAGGTTTGCTGTCAACCCTCAGCTCCGCCATGTGACAGTGCCCACGCTGAGTTAACCCTCTAACTAAACTTCAGGCGCCTCCGCTGGACAGCAGAACCAGCAGTTCTGTCCTACATCGAGGGTCGCCCGGGAGTTGTTAAGGACAAATACACAGGTGAAGCAATAAACCAAATGTTAAGGTTCACAACCAGCATCCCCAAGGGCGGTTGAAACCAGATGTTCTGGCTGGAGCACCAGCTCCAAAAAGCACTGATGAGAATGGAACAGAAAGCCGGAGAGCAATGGAGCAAGCAAGCGAAAGCTAGGCGTCTGCCTGGTGACTAAGAACACGACTGGGCCTCCCTCCGAGGCAGCTCAGTGGACATGCTCACCTGAGAGGGGCTCCTAACGACTGGACCTACCCACCACGGCCATGCGGCCCGGACCCCCATTCGCTCGAGGCACGCCAGCCCCAGTCCAGGGCTTTCTCGGAGGCCCCTAGACTAGAAGTCCTCCCTTCGTAGTATTCCCATCCGCTCAGCCGTCACCTGCCTGCGCACCCTAACTAAGTTCTCACCACTGCAAAAGAACGGGGGAAGCCCTTATATCACCCTGTTCAGTTTCTCCCTTAGCATGGAAGCTCCTTCCAGGAGGTCGTACTTGTTGTCTGGACCATGATGACTAGACCCTGGACTAGAAGAGTCTCTTGGGCGAGCTGGGAGTGCGAAATTTAAGAAAGCTGCCCCAAAGCACCAGTAGCTAAGATAGTGTTTGATTAAAAAAAAAAAACAAGCATAATTCAAAGTCCAGGATGAACAAAGGAGTACATTTTCACATGAGAGCAGGATTGGCAGTGTTCCTACACTAAGCCATCCTGGCGCCTGAGGCAGAAGAGTAACATTCTTTCTTTAAATTTTTGTTTAACATCATGGAATTTTTTTTTTGCATTTACTTTGGTTTGTTTTTTTTTTAACTATCGCATTGAAAAATTTGTCTTAAACTCTACACCCTAGACCAGTGCCTCACGCACATCACCCTGGCCCCGTTCTTCTGTCTGTTGTTCACTGCACCTTCTGTACCTGGCACACGGTAGGTACTGAAACAAATGCTAGTGGGTACTTGAGTGACAGCAGAAATACCCCGAGTCTCATTCTGCCCAGCTGGAAAGGAAAGCGCTCTGTCTTGAGACTTCCACACATACAGATGGACTATTCCAACCGCAAGCACTGGAGATGAGTCCAGCCTGGGAAAAACCCAGTTACAAACGTGGCCTCCCTCCTTGATGGGACCCCAAGTCTGGCAACCTGGGCGGTGATCATAGTCAGACTTGCCTTCCCCCACCACTGGTCAGTTGACCCTTTGGGAAAATGAGGTCACTGGACAAAGTATTTCCAAAGCCACTTCCAACTCTGAGGTTCTTTTAACTTTGGAATTATAAGCCTATTTTTAACACACATCGTAAAAGCCAAATCAAGAATTTGTAGACGGAGGTAGGGAAAGCAGGCACGTTACAACTTGTACTGACTTTATGAAATATTTTCTTAGAACAAATGATCAAAAATGGGACCAAAGGAATAAACAGTATGTCATGTTATTCGTCGTAATAAAAAGGTACAAAGAACTTTTGTATTAATGTTAATAAAAAATATCTACCAAGAAGGAGTGATGAGTAGATAAATTGTAGAATATCCCTACGGAGTAGTTTTACAAAAACATGAAATAGGCTTTTTGAAAAACTTTAATTGCATGATAAAGTGTTCAAAAACATTAAAAAGGAGACAGGCCATTATAGACATTTTGATCCCCAAATTAAGTGTACATAAACACTGACACACACGACCACTCATGTACACGGGACTTCAAAAAGTTTCTGGAAGAATTCCATTAACTAATTCTATTTTTCCAGGAAAGTTTTGAAGCTCCCTCATACTTTTCACTCTGTGTTCATAATGATCATGTCTGGGTGATGATATTGGCTACTTTAATTGGTTTTTATACATTCCTATAGCTTGTAGATTTTCTACAGTGGCGATGCCTGGCTTCTAACCAATGGTTCTATAAAGTCTCTATGGAGATTAAACTCCTGATAATCCTAACAGCCTTATTAAAGGTAGAAGACTTTACATTAAGAGGAAGCAGAAGATTTTGGCCCAATTTACAGAGCAAAACAAGAGGCAGATCAAGCCAAGAGCTTCACAAAGCTGTAATGTCACCGGGCTTTGACAAGGTATGAAGGTCAAAGGTACCTTCCCTTGTCCAGCTCTGCACACCTGAGGAAGAGAGCAGGGGGTCTTGCAGCATAAGCCACTGCTCAGGGGCCTGCTCTCCTCCTTCCCTGGGAACTGCAGAAAGCACAGCCCAGGAGTGTAAGCCCAAGCAGTCCTAGGAAGGAGAGGTTTGCCCTATACACCCATCAAGAAGCTGGGATTTCCAGTGTTTCCCAATGTGGGCAATACCAACCCTTGGGACACTGGGATGATGGGGTGGGGTGGGGGGAGCTGCAAAAGCAGATTCCTGCACTTCACCTGAATTATGGGCTACAGCACAAGTGATTCAATTGCCAGGGGGATGCTGAGTCACCTTATTTTATTTTTTTCTAAAAATGGAGTGGAGGTAGTAGGCCAAATACTGTATATACTCGTGTATAAGCCGAATTTTTCAGCACATTCTTAATGCCTTTTGCGGTAAAACTTAGGTGCCTCGGCTGATATTCGGGTCGGTACATATGGTCAATTTGGGAACCTGTGCTCCATTCTAACTGGGCAGTAACCCTTCACTGCCTGTCTAGGAAAAGAGCAGGCTGCAGAGTAGGGTGGTGGTGCGTATGTTTGTTGTGGACGGGATGTTGCTGTGCTCCCTCCAACACTGCCACACTGCACAAGGAGGGCAGTAACGCTCCCACCCCATCCCTATCCCCCACCCTCCTCCTAGGGTTCGGGGGAAACACTCACACTTCCCGGAGATTTGGCAAGTCCACAAAATCAGCAGGGTCGATCTCAGAAAGTTTGTTGTAACTCAGGTTTCTGGTAAAACGAGAGAGAGAAGAAAAAAACAATTAAATCAACACTTGGCATTGTGCTAGTCTCAAGAGTCCTCCCTACATCTCCACCCACGGCCCCCGCCCCCCCATCCCCCACAGCGGCTCTCCCATAGAACTGCTCCTGCCCTCTGGTGTTTTTAATAACATTCCTGATAATGAGGTAGGAAGAGCCTCCTTATATCCAGAAGACAGCCAGTCATCAAAGTAAGGTGGGGAGGGTGGAAACCCCACTCACGGGAGGCTGGCTAAAGCAGCATGCATTTCAACGGATACCACTTCCCCACTTAGAACTTTAAAGGTATCCTGCAGCGAGCATCTTCATCTGCACACTTTGCCCGGGATCAAGTCCAAGGCTGGTGTTTTATGAAATTAATGTTTTACTAAAGCATTAAATAGCATCAAGCAGTGACGAAGAGGAAGAGGCAGAAGGATGGACGTTACTGTCTAAACCAGCGGAGCTCAGCCAGGGATGAGGGGTGGGCGCGCTAATGGCATCCGGTGGGCAGGGGCCAAGGATGCTGCTAAACACCAGCAAGGCACAGGACAACAGCCCACACAGAGTGGGTGGAAATCTAAACAAGACCCTCAGACTAAATTAATGCTGAGTGGATGACTGTAATTCTGGATACAAGGGCATCAGTGAAGGAACGCTGTATTCCCACCAACAAACACCCACGGGCATGATCCTCCCACAGGGAGGAGCCACCATCACTGGACACCGGTGCCGGTGCTCGCCAGCCTGACGCAGGAAGAGCCTCACAGGTGAGCAGCCTACCAAGGTAGCAGCTTACATCTCCACGGGAAGGAACAGCATCCTCCTCATTCTCACCAGGTATCTGCCCCTCGCAGGCAGACTGGGGGCACCAGGAAGAAAGATCTCCACAGCTAAGGGTTCTCAGGCCAGCTGACTGCCTCTGGAGCAAATGCAGACGGACCCTAACTGCTCACTTTACACAGCACCTACTTCTTGCCGCTGAAGCACGGCAGCCCCAGGCTGGCTGGCGAGGTTAACAAGTGTCATTGCAGCTGTTAATCCCATCGTACATGACTGCCAATTAACCATTTTACTAATCGTGAGTTTAAAGTCCGTCTCTAATAGGGCCCTGTGTCACGTAAGAGTGGCAATTTTCTTTTAAACTTACTCCAGAGACATTTCAATCAATACTAGCCTGGGGCTGATAGCCATTTCCCTGTGAACTAAAAGACATTTGTCTAAATAAAAGTCAAACTGCACTTGAAACTAATGGTACATCTGTGTTCATGGCACAGCCTGAATTAAAAGCAATTTGTCCCGAGATTATATTACTATAAAGACTGAAGGTGGTAATTTTTTTAAACCACATACTGAAGTCAAGTGGGAGCTTGTCTGTGCTTGGGGTATTTATTAATGAGTGCAGAGGATCAGCAGGCTAGACCTGAGAGGGAAACCGCACATACGGAGAGGTGGTTTTCTCCCCGCGTTAAGCACATATGGGAAAATTGGGGGGTGAGGTTGGGGGTGAGGATATTGCCTCCTCTGAGTTTATGATGGAGGAGACAACAGAAAAAGACACCCGAAGGGCAGACCAGTAAAATGAATGGGGACCTGGCCAGGTGTGAGACAAGGGCAATGCAATGGTGCTCACCTGCCCATCCACCTGGCCAAATGCACACTGGCTCCCAAAGCAAGAGCACCGGTGTAGACCCATCCGCTTTGCAAGTGACGTCACCTTCAAGACTCCTCTATGAAGTCTTCCAAATTCTTGTTATTCTTTCCCCCCCACAGGTAACTCTTGGTGAGCTAAACAAAACACTTGGTCCAAGGAACTGGCAGCTTTCCAACCCTGATCTAGGCTACTGACTCTTGAGGCGGTTGGGTTCAAAGGTCCTTGTTTCCGGCTCGCTCGTGTGTCCCAGGGCTGGCGCTGTGGCTCCCACATTCTGAACTGCCGGAAGGAAATCACTTGCCTCTTTTCCCATTCCACCAGCAACTGACCAAGACTGATGTAAAGTGTGCAGAATAATCAGGAAACCCCTAGGGCCTGGCTTTTCCCAAGACCAGAATAAGTCCACTTTAAAAAGCAGCACAAATTCTTCTTTTAAAATCTCTGCTCAGCTCCTAATCAAAAGTTTGAAAGTTCAAGTCCACCCAGAGGTGCCTCAAAAGAAAAGTCTGGTACTCTACTTCCAAATATCAACCCATGGAGGTCAGTGCCACTGTGACATGGTGGGGGTGGGGGGGTTGGGGGTTGGGCTCAGTTCCACTCTGACATGGCATGTTTTGGGGGGGAAAGGGGGAAGGCATGAGTCAGAGTCGACCGGACAACAACTTGAGAAAAGGTCTTCATAAGCAGTATCAGAACTTACTGAGAATCCAACAGACAGCACTGGAAAAAAAGACATTTCTGAATTGGAATGGAAGCCACACTGAGTTAGTGACTTTTCCACTTCCCATCAAACCAGAGAAGCAGTGTACAGGCAAATGACGATCCGCAGGTTGTTTATAAGGTGCAATTTCCCACCCTGAGTACCCATTACCACTGCCCAGCGAGGGCAGTCTGGGTCAGAAGCTGGGAACAACGGACTTCAGGCCAGAGCTGCCTCAAGAGAAACCAAGCCCTGTGACAAGCTGCTGACGCTCAACGGTTTTCTCTCCCAGGAGAAATGGGGAAGGTGTTTACTGTATTAACAGAATGCATCACACACACACACACACACACACACACACACACACACACACACACGAAGGGGCTTCTCCAAGTCAATGGAAAAGTGGGACTCATCCCTGACTGTTGTGAAGCCTCCTAATATTTAGCTGATACACAGTAAATGCTTATATTAACCGTATATGGACTAAGAAAAATCCTCAGCTATTTTCCTGATCGCCCATTTCAGAAAAACAAACTCCCAGCATGACTTTTCAACACCCATTCCCCCCTATGATGCTCTGCTCACTGACAACACTCATCTCTTTCCCAGAGCTCTGCAGGGCACATGAATTCTTGCCCCACACCCCAAGAACCATCAAAGAAAGAGTTAATCCGTGGGAAGGCCCTAATGAGGCCTCTCTTTCAGGTGGCAGCTGATGTGCACACCAATCTAAAGCATCTCACTTATTTCTACAAACATGACCGCCCCTCCCCAGCCCCAACATCTGAATTTCTCTTCTGTGGAAGGTTTCAGATTCTCCTGTCAAAACAATTTCTCTGTCAGCAGGGCAGATGCTGTCAAAGGCATTTCTGCACCTTTCAGTGGCAAAGAGGGGAGGGAAAGAAACCGTGGGGAGTTTAGTTACTGCCAATTGCAGCTTTCATTAAACATTTTGTCAGCCATTGTCATAACACAAATTTTCCCTGTTCTTGCACAAAGGGTGTGCAGATCATGGAACAATTGAGCCCTGCCATAGATAAGCTTTCAGTTAATCTGCTGAAAGATAACCGTGCGGCCCACAGTCTGCAGGGCACACAAGAGGCACCTCCACAGAGAGCTCAGGTTTTACCCAGCAAGGGTGAAAAAGCAAGCTGCTTCACAGTCTGCTCGCTAAGTATTTTTTTCCGGGGACACCACCACCACCACCCCCCACCCCCCCCC